TTGGCTCCTTGTATTGGAATTTGGCAGAAGAAATTTAGGATTGTCTTAATTTCTAAGATCACAATGCTTAAGAAATCTAATATCTAGGGCTTACTAATTAATGTATTAAGAACATATGCTTATTTCTTAAAAATGGCTGAAATATCCTCCTTTCTTCCCAACTGTTTCAGTGCAAAGATCTTCCAAACATGTATCAGTTCTTGGAGAAGTAAGGAGAGTAGGGGTCAGTGAAGCTGTTGTCTTGGACTTCCAGAGGGCAAACTTTGGCCTGTTTAGAGACCTGGTTGAGAGAGTCCCTTGGAAGGCAGAGTCCAGGAAGACTGGACATTCTTCAAGAAGGAAATCCTAAAGGTGCAGATGCAGGCTGTCCCCACATGTCAAAAGACAAGATAACTGGGAAGGAGGCTGAACAGAGAAGTTTGGCTGAAACTCAGGACAAAAGGGAGAGTTTATGACCTCTGGAAGAAGGGACAGGCAACTCAGGAGGATTATAAGGGTGTCAAGAGGTTACGCAAAGAGAAAATTAGAAGGGCCAAAGCCCACCTAGAACTTAAAAGAAAATTTAAAATGTTTCCATAAATGCAACAGAAGGGGAGGTATGAGATTCTCCATCCTTTACTGGATCTGGGGGAAACAGTGGCAAAAGATGAGGAAAAGGCTGTGATACTTCATGCCTTCTTTGCCTCAGTCTCTAACAAGAAGACCAATTATTCTGTGTGTACCCAGCCCCTTGGGTGGAAGACAGGGATAAGGAGCAGAATGAAGCCCCTGTAATCCAAGGAAAAGTTGACAGTGACTTGTACACCATTTAGACATACACAAGTCTATGGGGCTGGATGGGATCCACTCAAGTATCCTCAGTGGAGGCAGCTGGTAGAATTGTTCCCTGAGCCACTTCCCATCATATACCAGCAGGACTGGCTAATCAGGGAGGTTCCAAGTGACTGGAAGTTAGTAAACATGGTGCCTGTCTACAAGAACTGGCAGGAGGAGGATCCAGGGCACTACAGGCCCTGTCAGCCTGACCTCAGTGCTGGGGAAGGTCATGGAGCAGATCATCCTGAGTGCCATCACACAACACATGAAGGACAGTCAGATGATCAGGCCCAGCCATCATGGGTTTATGGAAGGCTAAACTAGCCTAATCTCTTTCTATGGCCAGGCAACCTGCACAGCAGAAGAGGGAAAGGCGGTGAATGTTGTCTACATGCACTTCAGTAAAGCCTTTGACACCATGTCCCACAGCATTCTCTGGAATGCTTGAGTGCCATCACACAACACATGAAGGACAGTCAGATGATCAGGCCCAGCCATCATGGGTTTATGGAAGGCTAAACTAGCCTAATCTCTTTCTATGGCCAGGCAACCTGCACAGCAGAAGAGGGAAAGGCGGTGAATGTTGTCTACATGCACTTCAGTAAAGCCTTTGACACCATGTCCCACAGCATTCTCTGGAATGCTAGGAAAAGTGGGGAGGAGGGAGTGTGAGTGGCTGCATGGTTGTTGGCTGCTGGTTGGGGTTAAACCACAACAGCTGCTCATGGCTAGGCCCAAAGAGTGGTGGTGAATGGAGTCTGGGAAAAGGGGGGAGGAGGGAGTGTGAGTGGCTGCATGGTTGTTGGCTGCTGGTTGGGGTTAAACCACAACAGCTGCTCATGGCTAGGCCCAAAGAGTGGTGGTGAATGGAGTTAAATCCAGTGTGTGGCCAGTCACTAGTGGTGTTCCCCAGGGCTCAGTATTGGAGCCAGGTCTGTTTAATATCTTCACTGATGATCTAGTTGAGGGGATTGAGTGCACCCTTAGTAAGTTTGCAGATGACACCAGGCTGGGCAGGAGTTTTGACCTGCTGAAGGGCAGGAAGGCCCTGCAGAGGGATTTGGACAGGCTGGATCCATGGGCTGAGACCAACTGTATGAGTGAGGCTGGGTCCTGCACTTGGGACAATAACCCCACACAGTGCTACAGACTGGAGGAAGAGTGGCTGGAAAGCTGCCCAGCAGAGAAGGACCTGAGGGTGCTGGTTAACAGCAGCTGAACATGAGCCAGCAGTGTGTTCAGGTAGCCAAAAATGCCAATAGTATCCTGGTGTGTATCAGAAATGGTGTGACCAGCAGGACTAGGGAAGTGATTGTCCCTCTGTACTTGGCACTGGTGAGGCTGCATCTTGAGTACTGTGTCCTGTTCTGGGCCTCTCACTTCAAGAAAGATACTGAGGTGTTGGAGTGCATCCAGAGCAGGGCAAAAGAGCTGGCAAAGATTCTAGAGCACAAGTCCTGTGCAAAGAGGCTGAGGGAGCTGGGGGTGTTTAGCCTGGAGAAAAAGAAGCCTCAGGGGGGACCTTATCACTCTCTACAACTACATGAAAGAAGGTTGTAGCCAGGTGAGGGGTGGCATATTCTTCCAAGTAACAAGTGATGTGATGAGAGGAAATGGTGTCACAATGCAGCAGGGGAGACTTAGATTGGATATTTGGAAAAAAATATTCTTCACTAAGTAGGTTGTCAAGCACTGGATCAGGCTGCTGAGGGAAGTGGTGGAGTCACAACCCTTGGAGGCATTTAAGAGAGTTATAGATGTGGTGCTCAGGGACGTGGCTTAGTTAGGTTAACAGTTGGATTCAAAGGCCATAAAAGGTCTTTTCCAGCCTAAATGTTTCTACAATTCTGTTACTGTTCCACTAACATCAGGAAAAGATGTGTTCCTATCAGCTCTGCTTTACCTTTATCAGTGTTTCAAATTTGTTTTTAATTTACCACCCCACAATCTGGTTCAGTTCAGCTCTGAAGATCTAAACACAGAACACAGATGGATATTGCCACTAGTTACAGCAAGTTTTATTTCAGTCACTGAAATATTCCTATTACTATTCCAAGCCTCTCTAGTGTACTACTACTGTTATCCAAGCCCCTCTGCTGTTACCTACAAAGAACAGCATACAGCAATATAGAAAATAACAGCCTTTCTTTAACTGAAACTGGGATTCCTAGAATGTGTAGCAATACCTGTTTGCAATTTATTGGACAGTGCTCAGTAGAATTTTTTCCTTGGTGGACCAAGAAGCCTCCAACCCACATCCAAAATGAAGCAATCTCCAGTTGTGCATTCTGCCTTCTTCCTACCCAGCATGTGCCTCCTTTCTGGGTGGTGGTCTGTATTTCGCTCTGCATTTGTTTTCCTGGTTTTCTGTGCCTCGTACTTTGGCAGATGATCATACCAGACCTAGTTTGTAGCCTGTGACTAAAGAAATATAAGTGATGTTCCTTCAGCCTTGTTTGCTACAGACAGTTATTGTCTTGGTTTTACTCTCCCAAAACTATCTTCTACCTTGCAATTACATCTGCCTTATTTGTTGTTTGAAGTCACATCACCTGACATACAATTATAATGAAATGCACTTCACCAATTATAATGAAATGCACTTCACAGACCATAAGCACTGGACTGTGCCTTTAAAAGCACTGTTTAAGAGCATGCTCATTTAGAATCACCTGCAAACTTGGGAGGCTGAAGCTGAACTGCAGGGGGACAAATACTGAGCCAGAGGAATCTTGATTATGCTCAATGAAATGACTTTCTGGTTTGAATTCCCTCTCAGATGGATTAAGAAGTCAACCCTTCCAGTTATTTGCTTACATAATCCCAATACTCCCTTAGGAGGAAGCATGTGCCTCACGCAAACCTGAATGACCAAGAGATAACAGCTCCAAAAAGACTGGAAACTTTGCAGTTACCAGCCTCATAAAACAGCTTAAGCCACCTTAAATCTTAGTGACAAACATGTGAGATGAACAAATGCAGAACTGTCACACTGTATGTGAGAACGAGGGAGTGGAAGTGACATATCCTGAAGGCAGGTGATTAACAACTAGGTCAGAAATTTGATTAAGTATATGAACAGTAATACCTACATCACAATTACAGGAACAAATTACTTTTCTCACTAAAAATTATTATGCTGATTAAAATAGTGCTTCAAACACATATGGTTGGCAAAAAGACCTTAACAGCAATTCAGAGAGATCTTTCCTTCCCCCCAAAATGAAATACATTACTTGAATGAAACAGAGCAGCAATGCTCAATCTTTTAAAATTAAGACAAATTAAGTTGGAACCTTGCCTCTCACACAAAAAAGCAGCAGCTTCACAAGTAAGTTTTCTTGGCTACTGACAACAGCATTTTGTTTGCATACAGTAAAAGTTCATGGAAAATGAGGTTTCCTGTCCCTGGAATTAAAAAAACCCATAAAAATAATTATCCACTAGTGAAAAATTAAAAATAAGTGGTCATGGTATGTCATCTTAAATCTGGATGTAGAACAGTCCATGCACACAAGAAAAAGCTTCACAAATTACACAGAATTAAAACAATTTTGTAGAAAATAAGTTTTATTTGGCTCCTTTTGTACACTTTTTCTTAAAAAAAATGCACATTCATACAGTTTGTCTTTCCCAGTGCATGTCTGGATTTGCTCACATAGAGCCATTAATATCAAGGCAAAAGGTGCCTTTGGATACTTTATAGTCAAAATACAATGTGTCTCAAATTATTTCAAAGTTACTAATTGTCTAATTATAACTTGGAAATAAACATTTCGTGTGTTTCTTCTCTGATTCACACCTGTAATTGTCCCACATAGGGAAGAGGAGACAGACCTGCAACAAAGAACTGTCAAGTCAATGGCTAATACTCATTTCAGATAGAGCTAAAGATAAGTTCTCTACTTCATATGGAGTTGGGATATAAAAGAAATACTCAGCTAGGTAACTCTCTTTTTCAAATGCTCTACATCAGAAATGATAAAACATTGCTTGAAAATTACAAATCAGCCATTGGTAGT